ATGCGTACACACAGCTGTGCATGTGCACATGTACCCCGCACACAGAGGCAGCACACTCACACACACACATATGTAAGCACATGCGTGCACAGACACCACACGCACCTGCTCAGCATCCCCCACCGATTTCACTGACAGCGGTTCCCCCCACAGAGGGCTGGATTTCCTCTTTCCCTTCTACCTTTCTCTCCCCAGGGTTTGTTCTCAAGTGCTACCATTTGCGAACCCCAACACAGGCTTCCTGGGGAGAGGTTCTCTGTCTCCACACTATTGACTTTTGGGGCCAGGTCATTCTTTGTCCTGGGAAGCTGCCCCATGTCTTACAGGATGTTAAGTGGGGTCCCTGGCCTCCAGCCACCTCCAGGCCAGTAGCACCTCCCCCTCTAGTTTTGAGAAATGACTCCAGGCAGTGCCAGATGTCCCCTGGAAAGCAAAACCACCCCTGTTGAAAACAGCTGTCCTCCAGGCTCTTGTCAAAGAATGCAAGACAGAGCTGGGAGACAGAGAATGGGGTTGGGGGAGACCCGGAGGGCTGTGTTTTGGGGTCTGTCCCCATGCTGAGAATCCTTGTGCACTTGTCTCCAGGGCCTTGCTCACTGTCCCGGGAACACTGCAGGGAGCCTCGCTTGTCCTCCCGTCCTTGCGCATTTGCTGTGGGACGGTCCTGGCATCTGTAGCTCCTCAGGCTCGGGGCCCCTGAACCCTCTGCTCTGGGCTGCAACCACCTTCCCTCGGAAATTGCATCTGCAGGGTTCACAGAAATGAACAGAAAGTTGGAGAGAGCCATTCGGCGGAGCACTGGTCCTGATGACGAAGCTTTACGTTTGGGGCAGAAGCGCAAATTACTGCAAGTCAGAGAGAAAGGAGACTCAGCTCTGCCGAGAAGACCAGATGCCAACCTGTGGAGAAGCTACCAGCTCCAATGCTGGGCAGAAGATCTGAAGGCTGCGTGGCGGGAGGCTCAGCGCCGGCAGGCGCGGCTGTCAGCTGGAGGAGGGCGGCGTGCAAAGGACAGTGAGCCTGACCAGGATGAGACCCTGCAACAAGGAGCCACCAGGTCCCCAAGGGTCAGGGAAAGGTACAAAGCAACCCTCAGAGAGGAGAAGAGCCGTGAGGGAGAGCAGGCCTGGCACCCCAGGTCTTGGAGGATGCTGGCGGGCATGGAGAGGCAGGCGGCCATGAAAGCCATGGGCCAGATGTATGCTCCCCTGTGCCCCCTCAACAAGAGCAAAGGAAAGCGAGTGCCTTCCACCAAGATCGGGGGTGGCCGCCATGCTGGGGACCCTCGGCGGAGCAGAAGATTAGACCTGGAAAAGCTCAATCCATTTTCGGCCCCTACAGGGGAAGTCAGGCGTATGGAGAGGAAAGAAAGAGAAACCACCCAGGAGGGGAGGAGACGGCTGGCAAAGGGGACAGCTTACTGGGCAAACAGCCCTTGGGTTCCGAGTCCAGAGGGCAGACGGAGGGACAGAGAACAGCTGTTGCCTGTTGGTTCCACCCGCAAAAGGGGAGTCGGGCCCCAGGGATGTCAGTGCACATGCAGTGACAAGAGCAAGTGGCAGAAAGAGCTGGAGCTCGCCTTTGAAGAACTGTTCAATACAAACAGAAAGCTGAAGAAACATCTGAGCTTGCACTTTGACCCGAGGCCTGTGGAGGCCCAGAACCCCGATGAAGAACAGGCCACTGCAGAGCCGAAGGGATGCGGCAGTGAGGCCCCCAGAGAGAAGAGGACAGCAGATGCAGAGACGACACCCCCTGGGGAGTCCAGGGACCCAGCAGCAGTGGAGGGCCCCCTGCCAGCGTCCAAAACTGATCTGAAAACGTTCCTGGACAAGAAGACGAAGAGCCGAAAATATCACCAGACAACCAAGACCCTGTTAAGGGATGAAAGTCAAATGCCATCTCCCAAGGCAGTAGCGTTTGTCAATGACGAGGACCCGCCCTCAGGCTGTGCTGAGTCCAGACAGGCGTGCCCCGGAGAGGCCACAACAGTGGAGGACGTCCTTCAGCCTCACCCCCAAGACCTGGAGGCTGGACCTGGCTCGCCGGTGGTGTCAGTGTCAAGGCACAAGCAGGAGGCGGAGATGGAGCAGAGAAGACCAAAGCAGCTGGAGCTGCCTGAGGACCTGGACCGCCAGAACCTGAGCTTGGAGATTCACTACAAGGCCGAGCTGGAGAACGAGCGTCGGGAGCGCAGGCGGGTCCGCCTGGCCCTCCTCAAGTCCTCCTACCCCACGGCGGGCCAGGACATGGCTTCCTCGATGGGCTCCAGCATGACCGAGGAGGAACAGCAGAATTATATGATCCATGACTATCAGCGGCAGATTTTAGAGCAAAACATGTTGCACAAGCAGTTTCTTGAAGAAGCCAGGAAACGCTTGCGAGAGTTTCAGGACACGTGTTGAGAGGGAGAGGCCGCTGCCGTAAATACATCGCGATAGCCGCTCTGTTGGACCTGGTGCCCAGTTTTTGACCTCTGTGTTTGCGTCCTTTCCCCTGAAACCGGTAGGCCTCCGTGAACCAGGTGACCTGTCCTCACACTGTCCCCTGGGACAAGTTCCCTTGCAGGCACCAGTTCCCCTAGTCTGCCTTATAAGCTCAGTCCCATTTGGGAAGCTCCTTTGTGCAAACACAGGAACTCCGGTGGGGTCTGGTGAGTAGAGCTGGCCTGAGGGCCACAGATTCGTCCATGGAGTTTGTGTGTACACAGGTCCAGATAGAAGCTTGGGGAACATTAAGCACTTCAGATGTTTTAGACAAATAAACATCGGACTTTTAGGGGCATGCAAGGTCAGACAGGCATGGTTTCAAAAGATCTATCACTTACTGCTTAGCCACTGGCTGGGACATTAACAGAGAGATTGAACTAAAGATAAAACCTCTCTTGATTTTTCTAAGTGACAAATCCAACATTGTTTAACAGTACATCACTTAATACGTTCTTGTAACTTTAAATTGAGAGAGAGAAGACAGAAAAGAGAAGAAAGGCAGCTTCCTGCTGGTGACTCCTCTGGGGCTGGCAGGGGCAGGGGTCCTGGGTGTATGGTTAGTTTCCTACCCCTTACTTGGCTTTGCCACTGACCCAGCACCGTGGCAGCCGTGGAGACCCCACATAGGTAGAATTCTTTTCCTCTGAGTTACAGGCTTAGGGAAGGAGACAGGGTAGGCATACCTTTTCTGCAAAGAACCAGAGAGTAAATGTTTTCACCTTTGCCAGCCACATAGTCTCCGTGGTACCTGTCAGCTCCACTGTTTTGGCTGGAAAGCAGCTGTAAATACTCATAAATGAAGGGCCATGGCCAAGTTCCAGCAGGACTTCACTTACAAAAATAGGTAGCTGGGCTGTATTTGGCCCTTGGGCCTTGTTTGCCAACCCTTGACCTAGGACATTTTTTTTTTTTGAGACAGCGCCTCAAGCTGTCCCCCTGGGTAGAGTGCTGTGGCATCACAGCTCACAGCAGCCTCCAACTCCTGGGCTCAAGTGAGTCTCCTGCCTCAGCCTCCCAAGTAGCTGCGACCACAGGCACCCGCCACAACGCCTGGCTATTTCTTGGTTGCAGCCGTCGTTGTTTGGTGGGCGCAGGCTGGATTCGAACCCGCCACCTTAGGTTTATGTGGCTGGCACCTTAGCTGCTTGAGCCACAGGCGCCAAGCCAACCTAGGACAGTTTTAAGCCTCCCTCCCTCCCTCCCAGGGACCTCAAATACATTGGCTTGAATCAGCCCTCTTTGGCCAGCACATGTTGGAATCACTGGCCCGTGAACGGCTTTCCTAAAAATATTTTGTAGACAATATAATGGACCCCGTGAGCCTACCACCCAAACCCAGGGCCCCCAGAGTATTTCTGGGAACCTTCTTCTGCCTGCACATAGCCCCCTCCCCAGGTACATCCCTGCCCAGCTGGGGGCTTACATGTGCTGCTAAGCATTATAGTATGTAAACTTTATAAAAAGGATACCGTGTGTGAGCTTCTGGAAGCAGTTTCTTGGTCTCAGCATAGTTACTGGCATTCATCCATATCATACACAGGGATCATGACTCCTTTTCACTCCCCGTACTATCATATGACGTTCCGAGCCCTCTTCCCAGGAGCATCGCCTTTTTGGTGCCTGTTCTTGAAAAGAGGACTTTGTCCTTGCTGCACGCGCCCCACCCGGCTGGGATGGAGGTATGGGAGAGAGCCTGCCCATTACTTCCTCCTCATTTTCACATATCCCTCCCACCCTGAAAAGGTCAACCTGCTGTCATTTTTCATTTATAAAAACCGAGTATCAGACACCATCCCAGCCACTAGCAATCAGCAGTGAACCAACAGTATGCAAAAGAACTATCAGACTCACATTCCGGTGGAGCATTCAGGTAACAGATAAGTAAAATCTAGAAGGGGAGGGGAGGCACAGGAGGTATGGGACGCTGCCCCCCCCCCCCCCCCCGAGCCTGGCTTTCCCGGAGAACATCAAGTTCACGGGACCAGCAAGCATTATGTTCATTTGCATGGGACCACAGTAGCATCCCACACAAATGTTTGCTTTTGATGTTTGGTTTTTAATTTTCACTTGCGTATTTACTTAGAGACAGAGACTCACTCTGTTTCCCTGGGTAGAGTGCTGTGGCGTCATAGCTCACAGCCGCTTCAAACTCTTGGGCTCAAGTGATCCTCCTGCCTCAGCCTCCCAAGAAGCTGGGACTACAGGCATGTGCCACGATGCCCAACTAGTTTTTCTATTTTTAGTAGAGATGGAGTCTCTCTCTTGCTCAGGCTGGTCTCAAACTGAGCTCAAGCAATACACCTGCCTCAGCCTCCCAGAGTGCTGGGATTACAGGGGCAAGCCACTGTGCTTGGCTGATTTTTGTTTTTTTATTCATGAGATCCTTGAGTGAGGAACCACCTACCAGCTCACATTTCCATCGTCGTCGTGTGGGTCTCTGCTTGTCTGTGCCCAGCTTTTCTACTTTGAGTTGAGTAGAGAAAAGGTTTGACTGCAGTCTGGTTTCTCTCTGTCCCCTGCTTCTGGGATGTCAGGGCTCAGGGTTGCAAATCCATTCAACAACTTCAACACCGTGAAGAAGGAAGTGCAGGCGCCTGTAGCTCAAAGGAGTAGGACGCCAGCACCATATACCGGAGGTGGCGGCTTCAAACCCAGCCCCAACCAAAAAAAAAAAAAAAAAAGAAGAAGGCAGTGCAAGGGCCGGGAGGGCTGCCATCACCCCCATGCGGGTGCAGCCGCGGCTTCTCATGGAGCATGGCTGCCTGTAACGCAACCTTGCCTCCATCTGAGAAGGTGGAGAGGCTGTTGTGGGATGACTGAGTGTAAAGCCCTGGTCATGACGGGACCCAAACACCAAGTGACCGGGGGTGCCTGCCTCAGCCCGGAATCCACAGCCTGGTGAATGGACCTTGCAGGGAGTTAGTTTTGTCTATTTTCAGCGGTAGTGTTTGCGGCCCATGTGTCCTAGGTGAGGAACTGCCCATTCTTGGCCACACTTAAGCTAAAACTAGGTGTGGGGACAGGCAGTAACAGTGGTGATTCATCTCTGCCTGGACAGTCACACCTACACTGTCCCCTGGCAGCAGGACAAAACACCCTGCCCTTCCCACCTGTCCCTGTTTCTCTGCCCAGCTAGTGGTGTGGGCAGTAACACCCTTCAGGATACGCCCTGCACAAGGGCGGCCCTCCAGTGATTCAGTGCCATCCTCATTTTCCATTACAACCCCTGGGCCCAGGGCTCCCAGCAGCCCCTGTCTTGGCTCCCCTGGCTCACCCTCACTGGTGCCCCCATTAAGCCTTCCCTTGGAGCCAGGACCGGGGCCACAGCTCTGAGGGTGGCTTGATGACCTGGGAGAGGCAGCAAGGTCTCTGTGCTTCCTCCTGAGCCTTGGCTGCCGCCTCCCACTCTCTTGCCCAGGTTCCAATGTCTCTCTTCCCACCACCGACATTCCTGCCACAAGTACACCCGCCCTCGTTGCTGCTGCTGCCTGCCTTATGACCCTCAGTCTTCCCCAGAGTCCCAGGTCCCACATACCCTATCCTGGCAGCCTAGGGGTCCTGGACCCAGCCCCAGCAGGGCAAGCCGCTGTACCTAGCCTCTGTTTGACTTTTAAGATGCCTAGAAGGGCCAGGGGCTCCCAGAGGGTCTCCACAGGACCTGCCATGCCAGGTGGCAGTGAGGACCGCATCATGGCAGCTGTGTTCACCTCTGTCCTCCTAAAAGGTTTCCGGGGGCCTCCCTGTGGGTTCTCCCTCAGAACACTGTCATCTAGGGCTTTCTACCAGTTTTTGCAGGACAGCTTCCCTGTTCCCACCTCACTTTCTTACATCTTTGCCTCCTGGATCCTTCTCCTCACACCACAGGGACTCAGTGCTGCCGAGGTCGGCTGTCCACAGGGCAAGCCCAGGCCAGGCCAAGGGGAGCAGGAATGAGGTTCACCTCTTGATAACAGGGCCTGCACCCACTGCCAGGCTGACTGGTTTGGGACCTGACAATTCCTGGGAGCTGCCTTAGGGGTCAGTCTTCCCTCATCTCTTCCCCCACCCAGCCCAGGTGGCCAGGACCTCTTGTGCATTAGAGATGGGAGAACAGGACCTGTAAGGTGGAGGGGGAGGGGGGATCCCTCTCTGACCTGTAGTCATTTTCCAATGCAAAGATATGTTAAGACTTGAAAAAAGGTGTGGCTGGCATGTGGCCTCTGCCCAGTCCTCTGTCAGGGGACGGTGGGCTATGTGCAGCCTTTAGTGATGACTGCTGTGGCAGCACAGGCCACGTTCCTGGGCTTGAGATGGGGCTGCCCTGGGACACAACACCCCCAGGTCAGGGAGGCCTGCGGGCTGGGCGGCCCAGGGCTTATGTGCAAGGCTGTGCTGAGGAGTGGGCACAGCTCCCCCCATTGCCGCTGCCCGAGTCCTCCCCACCTCGGAAGTAAGTGGAAGTGTGGGCTCGGGATCCAGCCCTCAGATTGCTGTTTCTGTCTCCTGAGAAATACGTGGAGCTGGGTTCAGCCCCCGGGTCATGTGCCTTAGGGTACCACACAAGGCCAGGGCCCTGGGTGGTCGGGTGCTGACGGGTCTGGGGTGTGGGCCCAGCCCTTGTGTTAGGTCCTGGAAACAAGCCAGCCTGGTGAGGAGTGGTGAGCTGCCCTCGGCCACCAGTGGCAACTGAGTAAAGGGTCGGCAGTGGCCTCTGACAGTTCCCTTCCTCTGCCCCCGCAGGGCAGGGGGTCCCCTCTCCAAGTTCGCTCTGCCCCATCCTGCCCCTGCCCCTGCTCTGGCTGGGGGTTTGCAGGGCTGAGCTTGGCTCCTTGCTGGCCTTGGCGGAGAGAGTGCAGAACAGCACTTCCCTCCACAAAGCCGCACTGTTCTCAGTAAACCCTCCCAGCATCGGGTGCATTTTTTTCAAGTGATTCAGCAGCACGTGAATGGGA